TATATATAATACAGTATATTAATTATACTGTTTTTCATGTAATATGTAATAATATAAAACATTTTTAATGGCGATAATCTATGATAAGTTTTCGAATAAATTAAAAATAAATTCTCTTCAATAATATATTTATTTAAAAAAATATTTTCTAGTTAAATCAATAAGCTCTTTTTTTGTTTTGTTATACATTATATTCTATAATTAATCTAAACTCATTTTAATTAATTTATGATATTAGATATTATAATATTTTAATCGGAGATTACCTTGAGATCTTCCGCTGGGCGTATAAGTATTGCTGTGTCTCATCCATGAAGTAGTATAGGGACTATTGGGTGTGCCATAGTAACCCTGAAGATCAGGTGCGGCGTAATTACTGCATGTATCGCTGAGACTACCATCAGATGGTTTTAATACCCGGGGCGAAAATGACGCGCTCGTTGGTCCAACGCCAGCTCCTCTCTCGCGATGATGGGCAGACGCAAAAAGAGCGGTGAATTCTGGACTACCGGGTTTTGGCAGACTTTGTGAGCCCAGCATGAGACGATCTCGAACTGATTGTGAAAGTTGACTAGCGCTAGGACCGGTGAGACTATAGCTCTTGTAGTGATGACCCTGATTTGATCCCGAGGAATTCGCTTGCAATTCCGTGGTGCACGTTTGTGTGCCACCGGACACCTTGACCTGCATCCAAACAAAGAATTTGGATTTAATCAAACTTAATTTCTTCTATATGACTTAGCATAGCTAAGAAAGCTTATAAAAAAGCTAAACTGAAAAAAGTTATTTAGTTTTCTTAATTAAATTTCAAGTTAGTTTTAAGATATTGATAATAAAATTTGATTATTGAATCAATTTCTGTATTTAATCATATCATAAGTTGTTTTAGCGGTTGTTAAGCATTTGTTCTTGCTAAAATTAAACCTTGGAATAATAATAAGCTTAAAAAAAAAAGATTCTAAAAATCGAGAGAGATATGATAGAAGTTTTTAGAAATTCTTGCATTACCTTAGTCCTTGGCACGGCGCTAACTTGAGCCGTTCTGGTAGCGTCTTTGCTGCCATTTTGGATACCATTGGGACTCGAACTAGTGCCCGCACTGTGCCTCTTAACGTAGCCAAAGCTTTGTGGTACTCCACGAACTTTGCTACTGTTGCTGGTTGATGTGCCCGACGAAACCTTTTGAGGTTTTTCACCATTCGCATATTCAGCCATAGTTTGTTTCCGATGTTTATCCTGCGACATTTAAATTAAATTATACAATTATTATTATTATTATGTATACAATTATTGTTAATATTACTAATAAATTAAAATGTGTGAATAAATATTATTATATATAAATAGAATAAAAGCTATTTTTAATTATAATTAAAGACTAAATCTACATATATATATTATACTATATATATATTATACTAACTATTCTATTTCCTTAATATAATAAAAATCATCATTAAATTATTAGTACAATAATTATTCAATTCATATTAATAAATAGAATCGCCAATTTTAGCGATCAATTTATAATGAAAAAATATATAGAGAATTTATAGACTAAAAATTCCAATATTTTTTGAAGTATCTCACCTGCGACCTTCTAGAAGGACTAGGGCTGGGTGGTGCGCCCTCCTTGTCTCTCTCTCTTGCGGCACCAGCTTCGATGTACTTCTTCCATTGTTGACTGTTGGAACTGATACTGCTGCTAGAGCCGTTTGAGCTTTGCTGCTGTTGCTGCTGTTGCTGGTGCTGCTGATGCTTAAAAGCCGAGCTCTCGGTCTGCTGAGAGCTGTCGGACTTTTTCACATGCGGATGATGACCAGGATGTCCACGTGAACCCACCACGCGGTACACCAGATTGTGACTCTGCTGCGCCCCTTGGGGGGTGGCTGATCCTCCGCCACCCCCCACAATCACACCCCCTCCGCCCGGCACTCTCTGTATCATAGAAATATTGATGTATGTTAATCATATATGAATTACACATATATATATATATATATATATTTTAATTCAGAATCATATTTTAACGAATTATCTAAATTTTTAATAAAAAAAATAAGGAAATTATTTTACACACATCCACACACACTCACGCACATATGTCCTCTAAAATACATTATAGTAAATCGTTGTATGCATTAAGAGATTTTAAACAAAATTTACAATATATAATACAGCAATTTTGGAATATTTAATTATAAGAAAAATATTCGTTCTGGAATATATTTTTCTTAAAATTAAATATTAAAAATAGTAACTAAAATGAGACCGATATTTAATTATCATCATTTAAGTCCAACCAACAAGATAAAAAATTCTCATGAAATGAGAGATTAATTCCTAAGCTTGGCAGAACCCTCATAGCATGATTCAGAACATGGGCGCCATTATGTCGCGACGCTACAACAATTTTTATCAAAATTCTTACTTTCTCAATCGTATATTCTTACCTTTGTATAAAAATGATATTACACATATATTAAAACGATATATATAAATATTAAGAAAAAATACAGACGCACTTTTGTATTTTCATGAAGAATATAAATGAAATAGAGTATGTAAATTATTAAAAAGTAAAAATTCCAGGAATGTAGAAATGCAATAATTTTTCCAATATTATTGATAATTAAAAATTTATAAAGTTTTTTGAGAATTTTGAAAATGTACCTAATTGATAATCTAAATAATATAAGAAATTTTTAGAAAATACAGAATAAAAAATAAAAAATCTTTGGACGTACACCAAAATATTCATCAAGACGAAACGAGGGTGTGTACCCTTCCCCCATTCCCCTTTCTTCATGTGGAATCACGGGTGACTCACAGGGGTAGAAGCAGAAAGGCTCTTTGGGCTTTTAAGGCGAAGATCGTAAACGTACGCATGGTGGAAAGGCCGTAAACGTGGGACAAAGAATCCGCGAGTCAAATACATTTTTTCAGTCGATTTTTCAAATAAGCACACACTGGTTACTCATATTCTATTTACTTTTCAATCGTTTCTCTTTATTTAAAGAAAAGAATTAAAAGCTTTAATTATATACCTACTTTCTTTCAGTAATATCAAATTTTTTTTTAGTCAAGAGAATATTAATTTACGAGACAGGGGTTTTAATGATTCAAAAATTATTTTTCTTTATTGATCTCTGAATTGATCACTTTTTAAATATTTTAAATATTTTATTTTTCTTTGTTTTTATTTCCTTATTTATTATTTTTCTATATTTAATACATTTCTACTTTCTCGAAATATTTATTTTTTCTATTCATTTTTAAAAATTTATCTCTTCTATTTTCTGCCATTTATTTTCTTTTTAGATTTGCTTGCATATTTTTATTCTTGTTAACTTTATTTTATTTAGCTTTATTTTTCTCTATTTCATTGAATATTCCCTCTTCTTTCTATTTTCTACATTTTCTCATTTATTTTCTAATTCTACTTTTCTTTCGCGTTTTACTTCTTTTACTATTCTCAGAACATATCGTATTTTTATCCTTGCATTTTAATTTTTTTTAATTTATCATTTTTTCGTATTGAAAAGCACATATCAGGTATAATCAACAACATCGACAAGAAACAGCAAACATTTGTGCGTCTTTGAGATATGGGAACTGAGCACGAGAGTCCAAATAAACAGGGCGCGCCTCTTCCGAATAAATAGCTTTCCAAAACTCTTTTATGACACGGCCCAAGGTTTATTTTCCGAAATCGTCGACGTGAAAATATCCCATTTTTATGATTGCAAAGCATGCACCACAGAAAGACGGTGTGCCTTGAGTGCCGATCGAAATGATATCGATTCATCTCAAGGATGAATTCTCAAACAAAAGACCGATTTTTCTTTAATGATATTATATTATTTAATCGGCAAAATTATATTCTCGACATAAGAAATTATAACAATCATATGAAGAGCATTCATACACAAATTATCTCAAATAGTCTCATTACTCTTAATTGAGAAAAAAAACTAATTTCTAATTATAAAATTAATATAACACAGAAATGAGTGATTGAAAATATTAGGAATTTTTTGAGATGTTTAAAAAAAAATTAGTGTTATTTCATCTTTCATTTTATTTTTTGAGTAATTCTAAATTAGAAGAATTACTTACCATTTTTTTCTTCCCTGTAGTGGAAGTTTGCAAATTCTGCTTATCTTCCACAAATGAGAAACATTTTCTCTTCTATTGTAATTTTATTTTATCGTTCATTATTTCATTGAATGATTGTTTTTTTCCCTTTCTTTTAAATTCCTAATTACCATTTTCATTTTAATCACTTTTAAATGGAAAAAATAAAAATGTTTTATGCGAATGTTACATTTGATATAAAAGATTTGATATTTTTTTAAAAAGTTCTTCCACACATTAATCTAAATTATATATTAACTAATTAATTGACTTAATATAAAGTACCCTTCTTAAAGTAAGATTTTACAAAATTTTTTTTCTGTTACGTCTTATGTCGAATTAATCTTTTTATTTAATAATTTTCGTATTATTACAATAGATAGTAACTATTAATTAATATTCTTCGCGAAATTAGTATGTTACAGCTAATTAATCGATAAATGATGTTATTCTGAATCTATCTAAACCACAATTACGAATTAATACATTGATATCGATTATATGTATACATATAATAATTAATAGACTCAATGCAAGTCTATTACATAATTTTCCCTATGGGGAAATTAGGAATGTTTTTGTCAACGATGACCTTCGATCCGTTTTCTACTATAATGTTACATCTCATTACGAGTACTGATATTATATATTAATTATTATATGTTAATTGATCTCTGATATGTTTAAGTATTTTATGTCGTCGAAAAATTTTCTACAAATATATTTTTTAAATAATATTTTGTAAACTCGGTTTTAATAAATTTATATTATTTATATGCGATATCCTACCAATATTTCATCCGGAAAATATCAATTTTTTATCAATTCATTAAGTCAAAGTTGGAAATGTTAACACTTGAGAAATTTTTTTATCATATTTATCACCATCTTAATAACTGTTATATTACGCCTGACATTAATCCGTTAATTACTTTTCTTACTTTTTTTCCCCCTTTTTTATCTACAACAATTCAAGGAGTAAGTTCTTTACTTTATTACTCACATCGCCATTTTCACTTTTACAAAGATATACTCAATATTACTCCAATTAAGACAATTTACGTTCACTACAATTTTCACTTCGGAAAAATACAAAGGGTAATGCTTTATCACCCTAGCGCCTTTGGATTACGGGTCCGAACGTAACGTACGAGATATCCGAACGTTAACCGCCAACTGCGAGGGTCGACGATCCATAGCCTCACTAGCCCTCTCATCCCCACTTCTCCGACGCACAGTGTAATATTACTAACGGGAGGTACTCGCCCTCCCGAATCTGCACCTATTCGCTATGGGGTGCCACAGGAATAACGGTTTGACCTAAGTTGCGATAAGAGATTATGTCGATTTTATTTATATTTAGAGATTTAAAACACATATGCACATTATTTAATATTTATGCAATTAAAAAAGTATTTTTTAGAAATTATTGAGAATAACAAAAGACTTAATTTTTTCATTATCATTAGAATTAAGAATGTAATTTTTTAATTATCCAAAAGGTTTACATACACATTATGTGCATACAGATATTGCACATCAAGATATATTTAAATTTATATATACCGGTTCAAATTTTACAAATTATATTAAATATTTTTATAAATCCTTTATAACATAATATGTTATTCTTAAAAAAAAGCAATCCTTTTAAGAATAACATATTATGTTATAATTAAAATGTTATGTGTGTTAAATAAAAATTGAAAGGATTGTACTTCAGAAAGCATGGTGCTCTGTGAACTTACGTGCTTTAAATCACCGTTTAATCGACTTGATTTACGTCCAAAAGGGATGGAAAAGAGAACCTTGGTCAGCGATAAGAAGATCATGCGAGAGAGTCGGATTCCCTACGCTCCCATTTCCTTATCTCGAAATGATTCGAAAAGGGTTGTTACATTGAGTACCGTTAGCTTTCATTCGAAATGGGCCTTATGCGACACTGAGCAAATCGATAATTTAAGATCAGCGGATTAAAAAAAGGTTTATCCAGGAACAAGGAAAAGTATCTCTCGAAAAAAAGTTACCGCCGTTAATCTCTTTACTAGTTTACTATAACTAGCTCGTTCGCTATGAGGGAGATAAAAATTAAAAAAGAAATTAACAAAATATTTCGAATAATTATTAATGTATCAAAATGTATGGGAAACATGTATGGGAAACAAGTATAAAAAGTTTCATGTGAGCAGCATTAGAAATTAAATAAAATTACATATAATACAAAGAATATAATACAAAGAAAAGAAATATAAATCATTATTATATGTATATTGTAACAATGACTTAATAAGACAAATTAAAATAAAATAATTTATTTACTTAGAAATTGTCGGTATTAAATATGGAAATTGGATATGCAATTAAACAAATGCTTGCCTGTTCAAAATTTTCGAAATATATAAAAGCCCGATTAAATATATTATTTCGTATTGTAATTCATATTGTAAGTAAAGCTATAAATATTTAATTAACGACTAATTGTCGAGCTCAGTTCAGGGCACAATTCAGTTGCGGTAAGTAGCTCACTGAATAAAATTAAGGAAGGGACATTATTATTTCGTTATAATAATCATTGTTAAAAGGGACATTTATATCGATATGAGAGACTTCAAAGTTATTAAAATGTTCGATTTACGTTCCACGTAATGTATGGATTAATGGATAACTAATAGATCGGCTTTTAATATTAATAGGAAGGAAATATTATTATCTTAATAAAAACCTATCTTGGTAAAAGATACTTATTATCCTTCGGCAGTCTATATAAGAATTAATAATTCAACAAAAGTTTTTTTCGTCTTATTTTTAAGAGAACGTACAGGATAAATTTTTTCAAAGAGATAAATAAAAGTAAATAAACGGAATTATTTACTGTGATATAAAGTCATATATTTTTGTGTAACTTTTTTTTGCTTTTAATTAAGGTATGAACGCAAAAAGTCACATGCGATAATTTTCATACAACAATAATTTTGATCGATTAAATTTCCAGTTAAGCTTGAAGTCCCGTAGATATTTTCGTATAATATTGAAAGCTGCTTTGGTTCAATTTCTTTTTCCGTGAAAAAAGAGAGGCGGAGAGAAACAAAGAAGCAAAAGGGAAAAAGGAGCATTTATTATTTCGCTCGGCAAATATCGATTCTATTCGACGACGACCTGCCGTGACCTGGCTGCATAACTGCTTACGACGCGTATAACTAATTTCTCTTTCTCTCGCGCGTTCTCTCTCTCTCTCTCTCTCTCTCTCTCTCTCTCTCTCTCTCTCTCTCTCTGTCTGTCTCCCTTAAATAATTTCTTATTTGATTTTTCATTCATTTTTAAATTCATTAAAATCTGAAAATATGAATGGCACTTTAATTTCAAAGAGATTTACACATGTTTTAAATCAAGATAATAAAATTAAAATTAATAGCTAAAAACTATAAGATTATTTTAAATTTTAGATAAATAAATTATAATTGATAGTAATAATATGTCAGCTTCCATTTTTGTTTTATTTTATTACACACGTGCATATTTGAGAATTTATTTTAATAAAAATATTTAGAAGAGAGAGAAAATATCTTGGCACACTCGAACGAGTCCTTCACAAGGGACAAGGGACCGGAAGTAAAAACAGGATAACAATGACGACAGGCAAGTATCTACGTAAAAAAATTTACAAAAGTTCGTGTCCTCCTATCGTCACAGAAGGATTTGAAAAAATAAAATGTTTTTCTTTATTTAAACAAGAATAAGATACTTTAAGCTTTAATCTTTAAAAAGATAATTAACAAAGAAGAATCGAATATAACGCATTCTAAACATATCAATAGAGTTTAATTTACGTAATCGTATCTCATCTGTCGTGTCTGAATATATGTATTAACATACGACTTTAGATATGATTAGAGATTTCATTTTGAAAAAGATTCAAAAAGATTTTTATTATTTTAGTACAAAATCAATTGGCTGATTACATAACTACTTAACTAACTTTTATAATTCTATTTATTTTTTTTTCTATTTATTTAATTTTTTCTGTTATTAATTTTGGATTGCTAATTCAAAATTATTAAATCAGGCTTTTGTTAAGAAAAAAAGTCACATGCGATAATAATAGAGGGAAAAAGAGTAGAAGCTTAAAAATAGTGCTTTGCAATGACCTGCAAATAAAAAAATGGTTCTTTCGATAGTGGGACACCCAGTATGCGACAGCTGCACGATGCAACAGCTGACGCGCACACATGCTCCATACTTTGTGACTCGATTGTTCTGTGTAGGCTCTGTGAGATCATGCCTGTGCACACATCGCTTCTTGTCCTTCTGACACCCAATTGAGCGTTAATTGAAAAGAAATTTGATATTGATCAAGAATATTGTGATAAAAAAATAAACTCTGCTTCAAATAATCCCTAGATATAGAAAACTAATTAATAACTTTGATGTAACTTTAAATAAAAATCTGTTATCTTATCGAGAGATTTTCTCATTCATCGAAATGTAAAAGTTTGTTTTCGGAAAATCTTTTAAAATCATATTAAGATATTTTTGTCTTGTAGAAGACATGTTACTCGTTTCTCATTAAAATGGCAAATTTTTTATTATAATATATGATAAATGATAATTAGATAATTCTGAATAAAATCACTATATGAATATCATTGTATATGATTGATTTGTTTCCAATGACCAATATTTGTAGACACGAGTAGTGTTTCGGCGCTAAGACATATACAAACACGTTGATCATGGAATCTGTCAATTGTCCATCTTAATAATTATCAAGAATATATCTAATGACTGATAACATCAGTCCATTTAGTCTAATATGCCAATGATTCAACAATTGCTAGATTATAATTTTAATAATTCAAAAGAGCAAATGCTATTTTCAAAAAAAATATTTTAATAATTCCGGTACTTAAAACTTAAAAAGAAGGAAATTTGATAAAAAAAAAATATATGAAAAATATAATTCTATAAAAAGATTGCAAATGTTATTTCAATTTTTATTTAATAGATTTTTTTTTAATTAATATTCCTCAATAATGAATAAAATAAGTATTTGGAAAAATAAAAAAATAAAAAATTTAAAAATTATAATAATAAAATTAAATTAAGATATAATATTAATATAAAAGACGAGAAAGAGAAAGAGAGAGATGTTTAATTCAATTAGAAGATTCTCTTTTCGAAGGTTTCGAATTCTTGCTTGGCAGAAGAACATTAATAAGTAAACGACACCGACAGCGATTAGTCAGAACATGACTCAGATAATTGGGAAATAAGAATTAATAGAAGCTATTTCCGAACTCTTCTCTCTCTCTCTCTCACTCACACACACACACACACACACACACACACAC